CTGCTGGAAAGAGGCAGATTCCAGCACACAGCCATGGGATGGCAGTGCCCAGCAGCACTGGCACGAGCTGGCTGCACTGGGATCTGTCATTGTGGATTTGTCCCATTCCTCCAGAGGATGAAGCTGTCGGCTCTGCTGCACACCCACAACTTCTCAGTGTGGCAGAGGGCTGAGCTGATCCTGTCCCCATTCAGGTACGCACATCGGCCTCCGCCTCGCACCTCAAACCTGAGCAAAGGAGGGAGCAGAATGGGAAAGCCAATCCCAGCCCATCCCAAACAGACCCTGTCCGAGATCCCAGCCAGACAGACGGACGCACACACTGACCAGTTGGTGAAGGCGCTGCCGTCGGCCCACGTCCAGTGCTCGTCCCCTTCTGCCCTGTGCAGCCCAAGCCAACAGTTTGCCGGGCCCCGGTACCGCAGCATGAATTGCTGTGAACAAACCCAGGAGTGATTGGAGCCGTTGGAGCACTTTCCCCCCTCAAGCCCCCATCTCAGGTCCCACCTCGCTGCAAGGCATCTCCTCATGGCTGTGGCACGGGGCCAATTGGGGGCACCGCCAGCAGTTGGTGCGGCCCCACAAGTGTGGGTTTCCCACCCCCGTGTTGGCACTGGACATGCTGCAGGGCCTCAGCAGGGTCTCTCTGGCAGCGAATGGGCCAACGCTGAGCGCAGCACTGAGCTGCGGCCCCAGCGGTGCCATGCAGAGGGACAGACCCGCTCTCCTGCCCACACCACTGCCGCTACGAGCCGGGACGGAACGGGAGCACTGCATGTGACTCACGGGCTCAGCGGGACGGAACTCCGTCCCCCGCCGCCCCCTGCAGCTCCGCACGCCGCAGAAAAGAGTTCTTTGCCGGCCCTCCCTGCGGCGCCCACCCGCAGCTCACTGCGGGCTGCTGCCTTTCCGACGCTCTCGCTGCCATCCCAGCCCCATCCTCGCGCTGTGCCCGCGCTGCCCGTCCCTTCTCCCGCACTCGGACGCTCCTTCTCTCCCGCACTCTCGCCGCAGCTCCCCGCTCCCTCCCGCCACTCCCTTCCCTCCCGTGGGCTCGGGCTCTTCTCCCCGCTCGGCCCTTTCCCCCTGCCTCCCGGCATTGCTGTGTTGTGGTCAGACTTCGTAATCTCCTGAGGAGTTCACTACTTTCATGGGTCTTGGGTTTATCATCACCTCTCGCTGCGGGGAAGCGCTCAGTCGCTCTCTTCCTCCCATAGCGGTGCAGAGGTGCGGGGCTGCGCCCGCCATGTGCGGGCACAGGGGCACACAAAGGTCGGGCTGAGGGCACAGCGGTGCCGGCGGAGCGCTCTTCTTAGCGAACACCTCGCGGGGATCGACGGTGAAAACGCTGCTGCTTTGGGAGATCGGAAACAGAGGCTTCACCCGCTGAGCGAAACAGTCGGGACAGCGTGTCAGCCCCAGCCCCGCACTCAGCCTCCCCCCGCATGCAGGCAAAGTTCTGACATCGACGCCGGCTCTTATACTTTCTTCACCCCCCCCCGCCCCCGCCCCGTATATAAAGCCACCCATAGGGTGCGCCGTGAGCATGGCGTGCCCTGCAGCGCTGGGCGGGGAGAGAGAGGGGGGAGGTGATCTCGTCAGTTCTTTTCTGCCCCGCCTGCAGAGCTCCCGGCTGCCGCTGCCTCCCATCAGTACCGCACCGTCGCAGCTGCCGGGCCGAGGCGGCGACCCGGAGCGAGGGGACGCAGCCTCTGGGGGCTCCGTGCGGCACCCCGTTGGGCCACCCGAGGGGTGAGGCAGCGATCCGGGCTGCCGAGTGCGGGGAGCTCCGGGATGCGGAGGTCCCCCCGGGCCCCGAGGGAGGAGGGGCTGTCATGGCCCTGGTGGCCAAGAGGAACGACGGGGTCCCGGGCTGCGGTAACGGCGGCGCGGCCAGCAGAGCACGGAGGTGATCCTCCCTTCTGCTCTGCCCTGCTCGGGCCTCGCCTGGAGCACTGCGTCCAGTTCTGGGCTCCCAGTACCAAACAGACAGACATCTCCTGGAGAGAGCCCAGCGGAGGGCACAGGGATGTCCATGGCCGGGAGCAGCTCCCTATGGGGAACGGTGTGGGGGGCACACGGGGCTGTTCAGCATGGGGAGAGGAAGGCTCATCAATGTCTATAAATACCTAACGTACAGGAGGCAACGGGACATGGCCAACCTCTTTTCAGCCGCGCCTAGCAACAGGACAAGAGGAAACGGCCACAAACAGAAGCACAGAAAGTTTCGCACAAATATGCACAGGAACGTCTTCACAATGAGGATGACGAAGGACTGCGACGAGCTGCTTCCGCCGATGGGGAGAAAGGGCTCCCAGCGCCGGGCACAGCGGGGACAGAGGCAGGGGGGCACCGCACCGCGCGGTACCGCCGTGCAGCGCCGGGACGTCCGCACAGCGCCCCCTACGGGCGGACCGCCGACGTGCAGCACTGCATCGCCTATGGGCGGACCGCCGACGCCGCACAGCAGCTGTGCTGACGGACGAACCTTGACCTGGTTCGTTAACGTGGGCGGCTGCGGCCCCACAGAGCAGCGCTGTGTCCCGGACCGCGCACGGCAGCAGGTGCGGGTGGGGAGGGAAGAGCGGGATGGGGAGGGGGCAGGGAAAAAGGGAGGGGGAAAGGAAAGGAAGGGAAAGAGAAAAAGGAATGGAGACGGGGAGGGCAGCGCCTTTAGGCCGTTTGCGGCGTTCTGTGGGCCACGGAAGCAAGGAAGGCTTTGGGATCTTTTCTGCTCGTTGTGCGGCGTTTTTCCGTCGTTTCGGGAGCGCTGTACGGACGGGGCCCTATGAGTGCGCTTCTGGGGCTGCGCCCGTTCCGGGTCCGTTTGGGGCCATTTCGGGCCGTTTCGGTGCCTTTTCGGACCGCTGTGCGCTGCGCTGCGGTCGGTGCCGCTCGGGCCCATTGCGGGGCGGTTCGGGGAACAAAGGCGGGGCGGCCCCGCACGGCGCTGTCCCGGTGGGACAAAGAACAAAGAACCGCTCAGCAGCGCAGCGAGAATCGGTTTTCTGGTGCAAACGGGGCCGGATGTGAAGACGCAGAGCGAGGAAGACAACTCACTGCATCCCCAAAGACCATTGGTTCCGCAAGTCAGCAACGCCCACCCCGCGGCCGCCAGGAGCCCCGCACTGCAGGCCGGGCCGCGGCCACCCGCAACGCGGAGGCGCTGGGCAGCACCGCACCGGTCAGCGAACCATCAGCTGACAGAAGGACCTGCCGTGGTTTTTCCCAGCGCGGATCTCCTGTACAAAGCTTTAACCCGCGTTGCAGTGCGGTGTCCTGCGATCTCGTAGCGCAGCACCAACACCCCGCGCCGCCGCACAGCCCGCACCCGCCGCACAGCGCTGCCGCACCGTTTCCCGGTGCTGAGGACGCAACCCCGCCAGGCGTACCGCTGCGTCTCCGTGCGGATCCCGCCGACCGCCCCCTCCGTCTCTGTTCGTCGTCTCTGTCCCATCCGGCTCCCGAATCGCGACCAGCACCGCCTCTCGCTATCTGCCCATCCGTTTCTGCAGCCGTATCCTCGCCGCCACGCGATGCAGACAGCAAAAATCTCAAGTTCAGCAGCGCGCTCCCCATCCCGCACAAAGCGGCGCGCTCTGCCACGTTCCCGCCAAGGCGCGACTTTTTTGAAACCAGGCCGCGATGGGAAAAAGCGCGCTGATTGGCCCCGCCTCCCGCAAACCACGCCCCCCATTAACCCCTTCCTGCCCGCGGGAATTCGGGGCGCCTTGGGGACCTTTTTCGGGTCACTTCGGGTGGCGTTGTGCCCCTCGGGCCGTTTCGGGGATGTCCGCGGCTGTTGGGGCCGTTTCCGGGTGTTGGGCCGTGTCGGTGCAGTCTGTTGGTTGTGCTGGGCTCTAAGTGCTGCTTTGGGTGCTTTGGGAACCAGGGGCTGAGCCACGGCCGTTTGGGAGCCGTTCTCGGCAGCATTTGGGGGTCATTTTGGGATGCTTTGGGTGCCATTTGGACCGTTTGAGGACAGTTAAGGCCCATGCTGGGCTGTGTTGGTGTCATTTTGGGGTTGAGTTGGGGATAATTTGAGGGTATTTGGAAGCCAATTCTGTCTATTTTGAGGCCAACCAGTGTGCTGTGACCTTCAAGGACCCTTGGAGGACCCTCCCTTTAAGGCACAGTGCAATTAAACATCTTCCCTGAGAGATAACGAGCAGCAGAGCTGCGTGATTCCATGCAGGAACAGCTGCAGCACTGCTGGAAAGAGGCAGATTCCAGCACACAGCCATGGCACAGCAGTGCCCAGCAGCATTGGCACGAGCTGGCTGCGCTGGGATCTGTCACTGTGGATTTGTCCCATTCCTCCAGAGGACGAAGCTGTCGGCCTTTTGAGCCAATCCAGGGCCTTTCATGTCTGTTTGGAAGCATTTCACATCAGTTTGTGTGACTTTGAGGCAGTTTTGGTGTATTAGGCCTGATCTGGGGGTATCGTGGGGCTGTTTTGAGTCTATTTGGTGCCATTTCTGTGCATTTTGGGCAGTGCATCCCTATTTCTGGGCTGACTGGGTCCTTTTGTGTCCATTTGTGGCTCATTTGGTGCAGTTTAGGTCCGTTTAAATATTTCAGCTCTGGATGCTGATAAGGCACTGTTTTGCTTCTCATCCATTGTAGTATTCAAAGTCACATTGAGTGTCTGCTCTCTCCCTCCATCCTCTCCCCCAGCTCCCAGAACAGGACGGGCAGATCTCAGCTCCACCATCCAACACTTCCACACGATGGCAACAGGAGAACAGCAACCAAATTCCCCACAGGACGAAGCAGAGCAGTTCAGCCCAGGAAGTGAAAACCAATGATCCAAATGGGGTAAGAGAACAGAATCAGTGATTCTCTGCTGGTACGCATCAGGAAAGGGCTGAATGGGGGAACAGAGCCCGATCCCATCTGCTCTCCGCACCACCAGGCTGCAAATGGAAGCTGGGCAGAAGGAAAACGGAGGTTTTGCTCTTTGTGAGTGGAGTGCTGGTGGGCATCATCGTCACACTGGTGTTTGGGATTGGTGAGTGCCACCCAGCATCACATTGTGGGTGTAGGATGGGTGACGATGGGGTTTCCCAGCACCTGAGCTGCTCCCCAAGCACAGCCCCCATCCCACCTCCTCGGGTGCCCACGTGGTGCCCTAAACCACCTTCTGCTCCACCTTCCCACCCTCTGCAACCACTGCGAGGCCATCGCCCCGTGGCCGTGCATCCCAAGCCCACATGTGCTGCAGGGGAACCTTCTTTGCCTCTCACTTGCCCACCTCTCTCCCTCTCAGCGCCCAAGCAACCGTCGTGCTCACCTCGCTCACACTTCTCCCACGTCTGCCCCAACGCCTGGCTCGGTTTCCAAGGGAAATGCTATTATTTCTCGAACACAGAGAGTGACTGGAACAGCAGCAGGAAGCACTGCCAGCGCCTCGGAGCTTCCCTGGCCACCGTGGACACAGAGGAGGAGAAGGTGAGAGCGGGGCGTGAGCCCCAGAGCCAACACAGGGGTGGGAAACTGTGAACAGGTCAGCCCATGAAAGAGAAGGGAACGTTCACTGTGGCTTAATGGCATGTTTTGTGCTGCTATTGTAGAGGCGGGAAAGAGAAGTTGTGAGGAGAAAGAGAAGTCAGCTTGGGGCCGGAGGTGGAGGTTGGGTTGAAAAAAAACAACAGCAAGGGAGAGCATCTGGGGGGAAGGAAATGGTGGGGGTAGGGGGTGGGAAGATAGGTCAGGCAAAGATAGAACAGAAAATGTGGTTTAACGAGTTTTTGTTTCCGGTATTGCACATGGCTGTAGGTTGGTTTGCTCAGCAGTAGGGAGCAATGCACCGGTTTCGGAACCAATGAGTTCAGCAAAAGGAATCCATGAGTGACAGTTCTGAAATCCTCCACTCCAGCTTTAGTGGGCGTACAGGACTTTGCCCTGGGAAATAACAGAACACCTCTGTCTTCTGCCCCAATGGCTTTGCCCCACGAGGAGCACTGCAGTCCCAATGGAACACTTTTATCTGTGGCCTCACAACGCGCACATTTCCTCGGGTTCCACAGGCACTGCTTTAAAAGCAGCTCACTGTGCCATAATGAGCACTGGGAGCGTTCTGAGCTGGGAGCAGCGGATGGCAGTGGGACATTCTGTGCTGGAGCTGATGGTGAACCAAGGGGAAGCAGTCGGGGGCACTCGAGCAGCCTGAATAGCGCTGAGCATGGCCAGAGGGACAGCAGGACGGTCCGCACGGAGATCCTGGAGGTCTCCTGAGAGCACTGAGTCTGCAGAAGTGTCTTACAAAGATCCGCTGACCGGAGATTGGAAGGGCCCAAGTACTGTCATACTTGTAGGAAGAGGTTATTTTTGTCTTTCCACAGATGATGGCCCTGCTTGGATGCCTGCTCGCAGTGTTCGCCCTTGGTGCAGAACCACTGCCTGAGCCGCACCAACTCAACTCGTGGCAAAATATGTGGGTCACCTGGGTAAATCAACAGGCCGGACCGACTTCTGCTTAGCGCTTGCTTCTGCCACTGATCCCTTCCAAACTTGTTTTATAGGGATGTTGTTTCTCAATGATTCTGACTTTTCTGCTTACTCCACGGGCAGTTGCAATGTACTGGATACTCCAGGTGATTAACAATTCAAGCTTCTTAGGAGTTTCAATACCACCATACCCTGGGACTTACAGGAGTTAAATCTTCTTGGAACTCAAAAGATCGGTAGCACATCTAAGGGATGGAAGAAAACGTGTTTTATGTTTGGAAATACCAGGAAATGCCTTTGGAGGTCCATGTTACATTGGTAAATTCACAGTATTTTCTATCACTTTCCAGGACATGCGTGACATCCACTCTAAACGTAGCGCTCGGGTAGCATTAGCTGTCCTTATACCAGGGGCTGCTGCTGGGAATAGGTATTACAGCTATTAGTATAGTTATCCGTATTGTAAGATGCTCACTTAACAAAATGTCCACTACTGTCTTGCTTGTGCAAAAGGAAAAGGGGGAATGGTTGTGCGTACTGCCATTGCAGCTCACGGAACCACGAAAAGAACGGTGTCAGGATGTGAAACGATGAGAAAGACTGAAACCAGCCTTGAAACGACCATGAACTCATAATGATTGGGACTGTGTGCTTCTTATTTGGTTTTGCTTTGTAACTTGTTGTGTTGCAAACAGCAGCAGTAGTAACGGTTGTTGTGTGGGGTTTTAAATTTTTTTAGCAATAGACTGAATGTGAATTAACAGGATTTAATGTTACCAATGCTGAAATCTACGGAGATAGCTATTTTAATGTATTGGTAGTGCTAAGACAAAACCTGGAAAGGAATCCTGAGCAAAGGGCTGACCTTATATTATAGAATGATTAACTCTCTTTCATCCCACTATTCAGGAATTTAAAATATGATCATGCAGCACCTGAGACAAAGGCACACGCTAAGAGAGTTAACCTGGATAGTTCATTCTGCAAGCAGGTGTTCCATCTGGCCTCTGTATCACGCACTGGCCATGCGCATGCAGTGTACAAATGGAAAATACCCTTCGGACCCTGAGAAGAATAAAAGCAAGAGAGAATCTGTGGTGGGTGAGAGAGGAAAAGTGCACCATGAAGCAGGGGACGCCCTGCTGGCACTGCCTATCGCATTCACCAGCACCATGTTCTTTCTCTCTTTTTTCTGCAGGTTGTTGTTTCTCGAGGGTCAGTAAGTAATAATGCCCCCAGTTCTATCTGGCATCCAAAGTTGCCCGACTATTAATTTTCCATTAGCCCAAAGGCATCATCATGAGCACTCTAAAAGCATCTGTTGTACAAATCTTAGTGATTTTTCAAAATCAATATACCAGAATATATAAAAGTTGAAGACCTCTTTCAAAGCAGTTAGAGATTAGCACAGAACGGAGCCCTCGGGGATTTATTTCCAGGTTGCAGAAACTTGGGCTGCAGACCAAACACGTGTTTGTTCTTTTTAGTAGGTTAACAGTATTTCTTGCCATCTGAGGATAACATGCCTTGGCTGGGCTGGTCGCTGTGCTGCAGAGGGACACCTCTATTTACCCAGCAGCTCTCAGGACGCAGCGATGCTCAGCACAGAAGCAGCACAGATGTTGGTTTCCACCCCCCCTCTGCCCCACACACAGGTGACCAAACTCGGGGCAGTTTCACCCAGGATCCCAATTCTGCCCTATGTCAGCAGTGCTTCCATTCCACCCAACCAATGCAGGGCAGCTCTGTTCCGACCCGCTCCTTCCACACTCCAGACCCTCATTCCCCTCAGGACCAGCTGTCAGGGCTGAGGATTCCCGCAGTGTTTTCCTATCCCGCTCTCCTCATCCAGGCCATCCGTGCCATCAATGGTGGCGACCACGAGACGAGCGCAGAGGAGTTCACCAACCGCGTCTTCAACAAAATCGATGTGAACGGGGACGGTGAGAAACACCCCACTGCCACCCCAGCCCTGCTGCCACCCCAGCCCTGCTGCCATCCCGCTGAGATGCTGCCCCACTGCCACACAGCTGCCCGTGCTCCCAGGCAGGATGGGGCTGTGAGCAGCCCGCTCTACTGGGAGGTGTCCCTCCCCTGGCGGGGGTTGGAAGCAAACAATCCCTAAGGTCTCTTCCAACCCAAACCATTCTGTGATCCTATGGCTCCTCTTCTGCTTCATCTGTGCATCTTTGCCTTTTGTATTTCCTTCTCACACGAAGCCACGTGCTTTGCAGAGAAGCTTTTCTCCTCCACCACACATAATGGGTACAATGGGATTCATTCCCTGGACTCAGTCCTTGGCCATATTTTGTCTGTGTGCGTTTTGTAGGGTTTCTTTGTCCCTTTTTGGGTGTAGCTGATGGCAGAGGGAGGAGTGGGAGCTGCTTGCTGGCAGTGCTGCTAAAGGTAATAGAATCACATAGAATCACAGAATGGCCTGGGTTGAAAAGGACCACAATGATCATCTTGTTTCAACCCCCTGCTATGTGCAGGGTCACCA